TGTCGATATAACGAGAAAATTAAGTCGTTATAACGAGAAAACAACTCTCGTTATGTCGATATAACGAGAAAATTAAGTCGTTATAACGAGAAAACAACTCTCGTTATGTCGATATAATGAGAAAATAAGTCGTTATAACGAGAAAACAAGAAGGAAAAAAAAATAATGCATGGCCGCTTAGAACTTCCGTAAGGATCTGTTGTCTTCCGTGATGATTTTTTTTTGGTGTGTAATTTTAAACTAAAAGCACATATAATCAGCCATTCCAGGATTTCTATTTTCATGTATGAAATGAATGCTGTCTAGGATCCACTGATCTGTTATGATTTTTTCCCTCACTGTAAGACATGTAGACAGTGTTTAACTGAAATGTGTTAATTTGTTGGATTTTGATTTGCTTTGGTTTTATCAATGACTTTTTTTTATAAGAAATTATTCTTACCAAAGTCTTGCGTAGATGTTTTGTAGTTGTCTCTCTTCCTTGTTGTTCCTCTGACATGATTCATACTTTTTGAATATTTCACCTTTACAATAAAAGGAAAAGTAAGAAAGTGTCTAATTCATTTTCTGACTATTTGTGCAAAAGGTGTCATCGTATAACTCCACAGATTATAACAGTACAAATTCATCTAAATAACAAATTTGTTGTGCCACAAGACTGTCTACTCGGGCACTTTGTCGTTCTCCACACAATTGCATATTAACTGCATGAAAAAAAATTTGTATAATTTTTTTATGGTTTAGACGTAAAACTGCAAATATCGTATATATGTGTGTGTGTGTACTTGTTTATGATACACTGTGGTGACCAAATGTCCCCACAAGGATAGTAAAACCTGAAAATTTTGACATTGTGGGGACCAGTCTGCGGTCCCCATGAGGGAAAAAAAATAAAAAATAGTAAATGATGTTTATCTGAAAGTGTAACAATGCAAACAGGTTTTCTGTGAGGGGTAGGTTTGTGTGTGTGTGTGTGTGTGTGTGCTTTTTTTGTGACACATTGAAAACAGTTTATAAATAAATAAAGTTTGACATATATATTTGCCATTTATAAATCAGGCCCTAGAGCTGATGATATGTTTGATTTTAATATGTATTTTTTTGCCCAGATGTATTTTCATGTTTGCAAACCAGCTTTACTAACTTTTACAAGATAACTGTAAAATAGTTTGGGAAAATGTACTATTCTTGAGTAAAGATAATGGCCATAAGCCAGTTCAAATAAGTAATGGATCTGTTGTCTTCCGTGATGATTTTTTTTTGGTGTGTAATTTTAAACTAAAAGCACATATAATCAGCCACTCCAGGATTTTCTATGTCTCATGTATGAAATTAATGCTGTCTAGGATCCACTGATCTGTTATGATTTTTTCCCTCACTGTAAGACATGTAGACAGTGTTTAACTGAAATGTGTTAATTTGTTGGATTTTGCTTTGGTTAATTTCCTTTGGTTTTATCAATGACTTTTTTTTATAAGAAATTATTCTTACCAAAGTCTTGCGTAGATGTTTTGTAGTTGTCTCTCTTCCTTGTTGTTCCTCTGACATGATTCATACTTTTTGAATATTTCACCTTTACAATAAAAGGAAAAGTAAGAAAGTGTCTAATTCATTTTCTGACTATTTGTGCAAAAGGTGTCATCGTATAACTCCACAGATTATAACAGTACAAATTCATCTAAATAACAAATTTGTTGTGCCACAAGACTGTCTACTCGGACACTTTGTCGTTCTCCACACAATTGCATATTAACTGCATGAAAAAAAATTTTTATAATTTTTTTATGGTTTAGACGTAAAACTGCAAATATCGTATATATGTGTGTGTGTGTACTTGTTTATGATACACTGTGGTGACCAAATGTCCCCACAAGGATAGTAAAACCTGAAAATTTTGACATTGTGGGGACCAGTCTGCGGTCCCCATGAGGGAAAAAAAATAAAATATAGTAAATGATGTTTATCTGAAATTGTAACAATGCAAACAGGTTTTCTGTGAGGGGTAGGTTTGTGTGTGTGTGTGTGTGTGTGTGTGTGTGTGTGCTTTTTTTGTGACACATTGAAAACAGTTTATAAATAAATAAAGTTTGACATAACAGTTAGCCTACTGTGTACCTTACCTGTCTAGAATACTAGGCCATCTCTGGGTTGGATTTAAATCGTTTGAAGTCTTGGTGCTGTCGCCATCTCTGAAAAGCAATTTGATGTTAATACAACTCTTTTTGCTTGTGACCTCTTCTCTTAACAAGGTTTCAACAGATAGACAACAGATAATTCCTCAGATGGCTGCCTTTTGAATTATCTATTGTATTAATAATAAAGTTGCTAATTACTGATGGCTACAAGCTGTCAGAACTAACACTTCTCAGACAACACTGCACACTTACTGCATACTTTCCCTGGCTGCTGAAATTTTTAGCTTATTATTATGAAAGGAGTGAAACTATTTCCTTATGAAATAAATTCTTTGTGAAGCCAAACACTCAGGAACTCTCGCAATGCAAATGCCATGCCACAAAACACTGGGCTTTGAGCTCCTCGTGAAGCCAAACACTCAGAAACAATGGGCTTTGATCAAGATAGGAAGATCTGGAAGAAAGACCATTTGCTCTTCAGTCCCTTCACCCATCCTTCCCCCCTGGACACATGGTCCAGGTTACTAAAAGTTGACAGAGAAATGCCAATAACTCAAGTTGCTATGCTCACATAAAACATTAATATATCTTCAGGATTCATGATCATAAACTTTTCATGTTTGGTGTCATTTTAAAGGTCTTTGTGCGATTGGTAAATTGGTCTCAATTTAAAAGTAGTCATTTATATTATGAGAAAGATTTAAAACTTTTGTAGAATTCTGTTGTGCTGAGGAGGGGGTGTGTCCCCCTTTAGGGGTCTGTGAGAATGTTTATCTATCTCCAGCCAGGTGTGACCCTTGATCACCGAACCTAATAACCAAAAGGCCTTTTATGTTTTTACAACTGATGTAAAGATTTATTTGTTTTTGTTCAGGTAGTATTTAAGGGAAAGTTGCAAATCAGTCATTGTGATTCTGTATCCAGAAAGCCCGTAGTATGTGTAGCATTTGGACCAATCAGACACACAACTTTTTGTTATATTTAACAAATAATATCTAATGCCCCCTCACCTAACCAAAGGGCCAATTACGAGGGTCTATGGACCCTTCCCCCGAAATGCACCTAACACCTCAGAAAGGCAGAACAGGCCTCTGGCTCCATGGTAACCAATGAGGAGCAGTAGGCACATCATTGGAGACCTTCTGATTCCTGTCTATCGCTGATGTTAGCAAGTTGTACGGGAAAGGACTAAGTGAATTACACTTTTTGTCATAAGCAAGCAGTAGGTGGCAGGCAAAACAGGTATTAGTCTACCTACACCCCCTGACTAACATCAGACTGGCGAATTTGTGATCGTAAGATCCACGTAAGGCCAGCGTGAGACTTAAAAGAGACATTAGGTCCCCAGTGAACGGATAATTGAAAGTAGAGAGTCCGGAATAATCAAATATCTAAATTAATATTTGTGATCATTAAATGTAGGCAATATTTCTAATTAAAAACTGATCACGTGAAATTGGAGTCAGATTGAACACGGAGCTAGACTAAAAATTATACTAAATCCTGATAAATTCAGAAGCACAAGTAAAAGACCAAATACGCATTAAACCTTCGATCAGCCGCTGGATTCCACTTTTTGGGCTGGCGGGTGGATTCTTACAATTATAAGCTAAGTTGTGTCTGAATAATGCAAGGTAAAATTTTGAACACTATTATATAGTGAACACTAAAAAGAAAAGGAAAAATATTCATATAAAAATATTTTTTTCTATGAAAGTGTGTAAAATACACACCTACACACTTTTCAATGTCCATTTGGTGTGTGTGTGCAATGTTTATACATCTGGGCCTGTATTCACAAAACATCTTAAGGCTAAAAGTAGCTCATAACTCACTGATTTAGGAGAAAATCTTAAAAATAATGGGCGTGTCAGTCTTAAATTTAAGACTCCTAAATTTTTGCTCTAAGAGTATTTCATAAAGCATTTTAGCACTACAACTATCTCCTAAATCTGTGAAATGCTAGGAGTAGTGGAGAGGTCTCCTAAGTCACTAAGACCAAGCCACAAACTATCCTAAAATGGCTGTTGCCGGCAATCTGCCTTGGAATGTAAACATTTTAGAAACAGTTGACGATAATGAGCTTTTAAAAAGGTATATCGCCTTAATTGCGGGGGTATTATGACTGTTGTAGAACTTGTCGGGGACAATTTTCCTTTTATTAGCCTATATCCTTGTCTTCATTAACCAGTTGGGCAAGAAGTAACAGTCAGTCCTAAATTTAAGACTCCTAAATTTTTGCTCTAAGAGTATTTCATAAAGCATTTTAGCACTACAACTAGCTCCTAAATCTGTGAAATGCTAGGAGTAGTGGAGAGGTCTCCTAAGTCACTAAGACCAAGCCACAAACTATCCTAAAATGGCTGTTGCCGGCAATCTGCCTTGGAATGTAAACATTTTAGAAACAGTTGACGATAATGAGCTTTTAAAAAGGTATATCGCCTTAATTGCGGGGGTATTATGACTGTTGTAGAACTTGTCGGGGACAATTTTCCTTTTATTAGCCTATATCCTTGTCTTCATTAACCAGTTGGGCAAGAAGTAACAGTTCTTCTTGCGTCCAGTTTGGTTTTCTTTTACGTTTGCATGTTTATATGCATATTCACTAATTG